CTGACCGGCATGGGGGATATCGCCCTTGTTCGCTCGCTGATGAGTAACATCCGGCCAATAACTGTTTTTGTATGCGTGCTCGCAGTTTCATGCGTCTGTCGCGCCAGACTGACCACACCCGTCTGTTCATGGCTTTTGTCAAACCGACTGATGTGGAGACTGCTCCCTGTCCCTCTCAGATTCAGCGGGTCGTTGACCGGTTCTCAGATCTTATGGAGGAGCCTACTGGACTTGTCCATAGGCATACCAAACATAAGATTGAGATCCTGCCTGGTTCGGTCCCTCCCAAGGGCTGAGTCTACAGAATGTCACCTGCTGAACTTGATGAGCTCAGAAAACAGTTAGAGACCTTGACCAGCAAAGGCTGGATCCAGCCCATCGCATCTGAGTTTGGGGCACCAGTCCTCTTTGTTCCGAAGGGGAAAGGTGAGTTCAGGATGTGCGTGGATTATGAAGGTCTCAATAAAATAACGAGGAAGTCTACAGAGCCTCTTGCTCGCATTGATGATCTGTTGGATATGGTGCAGGGTTGTACCATTTGTAGGTTAGATTTGTAATTTTGTTTGGCTGAAGGCTAACCGAGAGACCTGCCTGTGAGGAAATTCGTTAGGGACATATCTGCAAATTTGGGAAAATATAGGCCCGTACTAACTAGAATTCCTACAGGTACCCAAACTACGAATAACAAGCCCGGGCTACACCTAGGATAGACAGGCCCTAAGGGCCTAAGCTGGTAGACGTTCCTATAGCCTATAGCCGAGTTGGGAGAGGCCCTAGAGGCCGAAACAGAAACTGTACCGGTCGGTCAATCAGTCCGGTCTAGGTCGAGTCTAGGCTAGAGTAGACTATAGATAGGTTGGGCACATCGGTTCAAGGCTTTTGGCGGTTGGTACCGAGTACATCGTTGCTATGCTACGCATGAACTGGAAGTGGTGACGACTCAGCGTTCAGGGAGACAGACATAGCCAGACCTTCGGAGCGCCGGCCATAGCTGGGACCTGCGTTGTACTCTGTCAGCATGCGGGGCTGTACCGAGGTCTGGGTTATTCGAGGTCTGCTCGAGGCGAAAGAAGTTGGTTCCCTGCTGGACCCTCCTTCGGAGTAGGGTTACAGGGTTGTGGTGCTGCAGCCATAGCTGTAGCTTCTTCCTCAGAGGTCATCTTGTAAGGAGTGGTGGCGCTATTGCAGACTTCCACCCGGGAAGTCTTCCGACACTTCGGCATCATCAGATACTTTGGCGCTGGTCTTCTTCCTCATCCTCTGAGGGGCGCTTGGCCTCAGAGCCCTGTTTCAGGGTGGCACTTCCCTTTGGAGACTGTATCTGGGTGGCTGCTGACCGACCGGTACCGTTTCTGTTTCGGCCTCTAGGGCCTTTCCCAACCCGACTATAGGCTATCGGATCGTCTATCAGCTTAGGCCCTTAGGGCCTGTCTGTCCTAGGGGTAGCCCGGGCCTGCTATTCGCAGTTTGGGCAGCTGTAGGAATTCTAGTTAGTACGGGCCTATGTTGTCCAAAATTTGCAGATATGTCCCTAACGAATTTTCTTACAGGCAGGTCTCTCGATTAGCCATCAGCTAAACGTTATTACGAATCTAACCTACAGATGGTACAGCCTGGACAAGAGAGAGGCTACAGACGACCAGAACCAGCAAGGTGTTTCAAATGCATCCTGTTGACGTCAGTAGTAGAACCGAGTACATGAAGATGTCGACCCTTGTAGAACATCGCCAAGATCAGGTACGCGCCCTCACATCATCCTCCTCCTCTCTCTCACTCTCTCCCTCGTCTTCTCTCCCCACGTCTTCCCTCTCATGCACGAAGACCACCATCACCCGCTGACCAAGTCCAAGCCCCAGCCTGGCTATGTAAGTTGGGATATGGCGCTGCCCTCATCAGCGCACATGCTCTGCCGCACTGGCACTAGCAGCAGCACGCGAGCAACCACTCCAGTAGCGCTGCTGCCTGCTCTACCAAGTGCCCGCTGCTCTACCAAGTGCCCGACTACCTCCCTGGAGCCCAGCCCTTTCCTATATGGAAAGTGGCGGGCTCTTCCACTTGCTTCCCACGTGAAACCGATTTTCCAGTAGCTTCAGTCTCGGCCAAAGTGTCTGCGCCCAGGTCCGTTCAGACAGTGGCCTGGGACCGAATTGGTTAGACATGCCCAACCACTCAGGCACAAATGTGTGGTGGTCCCTGCCTCGACCATGTTGCTGGAAGAGCCTGGAAGGCTCACGACTATTTCCAATTCTCAAGAGCAAAGCAGATGTAACCAACTGGCGCGTGGCGACTGTCTGGCGTCCATCAAGATTTGCAAAAAATGACGAATTCAGGGCACATTGAGAGTCAGGGGGGGGCGCCTTCACTTAGGGCGGGCACATGCCTGATGCATGGCCTTATGCGGTTATGCCGAGGGATCAAACCATCGCTATACCTTCTTCTTTTTAAAAAATTGGACCATTAAACCATTTCTCGATTTATGCATGTCATCCTTGTGCAGCGGCCATGCCAATCTGCTCTGTATCGTTCCAATTTTGATGGATGTCCTGAAGGACTCTGGCAATTGATACGTATTCAATCAAACCTCCAAAAAGTAGTTCTCTTTGAAGGAGAGGGAAAAAAAGAAAACATGAAATGAAATCTCATTGGAGTACAAAATTGTTCACCCAATCTAATCCCATGTCCTCAATTTTTAAGTTCCTGGCGAGGACTACCAAGGACTAACTGACGTCCAGTGCAGACGTCACAACCTGAACCCAGACGACCCATTTAGCGCATGCTATGAATGGACAGAGATTTGGGATCCACTTCTGATGACTGTTCTGGTACTGACCTGAGAAGACCTCTCCATAGGCCGTAATTTTTTATTTATTATTATTTATTTATTTATTATTATTTATTTATTTATTATTATTTATTTATTTATTATTATTTTTATTTTTATTTTTATTTTTTTTATGAAAGGGCCCAGTGCCCAAGGCTGATATTCCAATCAATTATCATCGAGGCCGGGGACCTCACAATCTGCCCGGATTTCTGACTTGTGTTGGATTTCCGGACAGGTTGCCTTGGATCTGTCCGGCTCGGAAAACCCGGCCAGACATTCTGGCCTGTTGGATGAATTGCATAGACAATAACAGCGGTGCGGACTGTCTGTGCCATCCATGGACGTCGGGCAGACGCATCGAGCGGGCATGTCTGGGCTGGACACATGAACACGGACGACGGAAATGGATGTTCCATGTCCTGGGGGCGATGGGTCATGGCATGGAGTGGGCGCTTGCCGGACGCTGCAATGGGTCATGGTAAGGATGGGGGTTTGAGGGAATGGCCAGGGGTAGTTTTTCCGAGGAGGGATAGGAGTGGAGAAAACCCACTTTTCCTTTTTTTTTACACCTCTATCTCGGCAGCCATGCAATCCGTGGATGAACGCGGCTGCGGACAGGCGAACCAGACTGCAGCGACATAGAATCCCTTTCTTCATATGTGTGTGTGTGTGTGTGTGTGTGTGTGTGTGTGTGTGTGTGTGTGTGTGTGTGTGTGTGTGAGAGAGAGAGAGAGAGAGAGAGAGAGAGAGAGAGAGAGAGAGCAACGCAGAACCAACATAAGTCTGGGGATGTCAAATATGTCCATAGAAATCATTCCAAAGCACGAGTGATGAAAATCACTAGACCTACGAAGCCCTGGGTGTGTCGTGGGAGTGTGCCTATACCTCGGCCTGCACAACCTTAACCGAAAAAAAAAAAAAAAAACCCTATGAAGGAAAAGCTCCCAATTCCTGATGAGTTTCCTTCCATCGATGTCATCAAGGGATCGAACCACATTCACATATCCTATCACCTGAGAGAGGGACCAAAAAAAAAAAAAAAAAAAAAAAAAAAAAAAGAGAGGGACTCGACCTGGTAAGCCCTAAGTTCCCTAACATTATTACATTCATCTGTTCCGAACGGGATTCGAAATCACAATCTGTTTTCTTAGAAGTCTGTAACATTCAGCCACATGTGCTGGGTTGGTGAATTATGTATCTCTTCGAGCGGTGAACGGAAATTTTGATGGGCACGTTACAGGCTGAGGAGATTTTTTTTTTTTGTTGTTGCAACAAAGGCCTGTGCAGGTCCGCTACGGAAAAAAAAAAAAAAAAAAAAAAAAGGCTGAGGAGATTTCCAAGGAGTAACAGTTGGTTCCTCTCAAAAACTGGCTTGTTTTTTTTTTTTTTTTTTCTGATGGGCACATCGCCAGTCAAACTCGCACAAGATGATGTTGAGGCACAGAGGACTGTGCCTCAACATCATCTTGTGTGAGTTTGACTGGTGATGTGATGTGAGTCTGCAGGCTCACAGATAAGGACCAGTGCCGTGGAGCGCATGGGACTCTGTGTCCCGTGGAACACATGGGATTCTGTATCCGATTGAACTCTGTGTCCCATGGAGCGAATCAAGATGCGTGGTTGGTACCATAAATTGGCATGGCGGGTTGGTGTGTGGCATCCCCTCTCCCCCCCTCCCTCCTTCCTCTCTCTCTCTCTCTCTCTCTCTCTCTCTCTCTCTCTCTCTCTCTCTCTCTCTCTTCACCTCCATTGGTTTCGACCTCATGAAGATTTAGTTCCATTGGTTGTTGAAGGACTGTGGATAGAACCCGAGACTTTTAAATTACCTGTTTCCACTTTTTCAGGCACGAAGCTTAGTTCCTAGGCAAACCTTTGGACGGGGCCTGCAAGGGCGATCGAGATCCGGACCCGAACAAGGCAAATAATTTTGATTTTGATTTGGGGTTTTGATGTTCATGTTCACGTTCATGTTGGTGTTGATGTTGGTGTTGATGTTGAGATCATCTTTGTTTTGGAAGGTTGAAGTGATTTTGATGTTGATGTTTTTGAATGTTGGTGTTGATGTTGATGTTGTCCTTCTTTTGGAATGTTGATGTTGATGTTGATGTCATCATTCTTTTGGAAATTTGGGTTTTCTGTGGGTTTTGGAATTTGAAGTGAGTTTCGATCATTGCAGGTTGCTGCAATGGACTACATCACCGGCAAGGGGGATTGGGATCCAGGCAGCAGTGATGCATCGGTGCTGCCGCTACCATCCCAAAACCAGCGTACAGGATTGGTACTCAAGAACATCCAGTTTGCAGCCGCCATGCCAGACGCTCGACAGTTTCTTAAACTGGAATACCCCATCAAGCTGGCTGTCATAGGCACACCTTTCTCTGGTAAGTTTCCTAAACGGTTCTCACCTTGTCGAGGTGTGTCGTCTGTGCAGCAGGTAAGATGATGAAAGGGGCCTGCCCCCGCTCGCTGGCAGTCTGCATAGAGCTGCACTCCGTTTGCTGTTAATTATTTTCTCTTCCAGAAATCCATGAAGATGGCCATCATTAGCTAGCACACTTTTTCCAGGTAAGTTTCCTAGACTGGAAACTGTGTTGCCGACCGGTATCATCAGTGCAGGTAAAAGCGGAGATCCGCACCCCTCACTGGCAGTCTGCATACAGACTGCATTATCACAACTATTCATCATCTTTCTGCCAGAAACTCAGAACAGAGTTCCATGAAATTCGTGAAGCGGGTCATAATCTGCACACCTTTCTCCGGTAAGCTTCCTAAGCTGGAAACTCTGTTTGTTGGTGAGCTGTGTACCATGGGTTCAAATCCGATTTCCTCCGTTCCGTCGGGGGCATAGTTCAAGTGGTAGAACACATGTTTTGCAAGTATGACGTTATCGGTTCAAGTCCAATCGTCTCCAATTTCCCCGTGAGCCCACGTAGCTCAGGTGGTAGAGCATTCCCTTTTTAAGGGAAAGGCCTCCGGTTCAAGTCCGGTCTTAGGCTCCGTCTTAAATTAAAAAAGAGTCACCAGTGCAGGTTAAAAAAAAAAAAAAAAAAAAAAAAAAAAAAGATCAGAAGTCCTTGCACCTCACTGGCGGCAGTTTTGACACCGACAAAACTACATACAGGTGCACCCTTGCAAGAATCCCATGAAAATGAAATCTCTAATCACAATCACTTCATGCTCTCATAGACCAGCATTGACTCAGTGATGAAACGGTGAGCAGAAACAACAAACAATGTTCAAAACAATGATCAGACGTGCGCAAAATAATGACAGTGTTGAAGTCTCTTGATGAAGAATCAACCCCACCCTTTCTCGCGTCCATCAACCAACAACGAGGGTATTGTGTGGTCCGTTTCCTTCTTTCTTGCAGGGAAATCTACACTGGCATCATATTTGGCGTCTTCATTTGGCCTAAAGCACTTGGATGTTCACGATATCCTTTCAGCCGCTCTCAATGCAGCCGAAGCAGGTACACCTAACGCCCTTCCTGTCTGTCTGATTTAACTGCACCTTTAAACCTCTGTAAGCCCCTTAAAACCCCTTTAAGCCCCCTGTTAAACCCTTGGAGTGGCCTGTAAACCCCCCTGTGATTCATAGACGACTCAAATTCTCTGCGGGTTGTAACGATGTGCCATCTTTGCAGTCCCGTCATGTTCGACTCCCTTCAAAGTTTAAAGTTTAAATGACAACCACATGGACAGCGTCTTTGTTTCTGAAAGCCGTGATAACAGTAGGCCTAGGCCTCGATTTTCCCCTGTCAGATCGCCGAAAACTTGTGCAGTACAGGGCTTCATTAGGCTCCACAGGTTGGCCTCACTAGGCTCGGCAGGTTGGCCTCACTAGGCTCAGCACGTTGGCCTCATTAGGCTCGGTGGGATGGGCTCATTAGGCTCAGCGGGTTCGCCTCATTAGGCTTAGCAGGTTGGCCTCAACGGACTCGGCAGGTCAGATCTTGATGTAACGGTGGGTGGTTTAAACAACCAGTACTCCCGAGCCTGTTTTTCCTGAGGCTCGAAATGCCCTGCGCGTCAAGAAAAAAGTGAACCGGCGCGAGCCCCTTTTCACGAGCAGGGCCAGCCATTTTGCTCCGGCAGCTGGCCCCCGAAAGTTGCTGCGTGCATAGCCACGTCGGGAGAAAAATGGCTGGGAAACGCCCTGGTGGTTTAACTGCCACTTTTTTTTTTTTTCCGACTGCTCTCTGTAAATCCCTTTTTTTTTATATATTTTCTTGCTTTTTAGACTTCTTTCCGTAAATGGCGTGAAGCCCTTTTTTTGGACCCCACTGCTTGAAGCCCCCTGCAAACTCTTTTCACCCCTACTCTCACTTCCATACATGGATTGCATTTCTTGTGGGATGCAGGCTCATGCAGCATTTTGCAGGAGGGAACGTCTATGGCGCTCGTCTTACCCATTCATTTCTACCTGTACAGTCTATCATTTGATTGCTCTCTTCTTTGCCCTGTTCTTTTTGTCTTTTGCTCGTTGGAGCCACCATGCCAGTCTTTTCTGTATCGTTCCAACTTCAACTGATGTCACCCCTCTTCTTTCTCTTTTTTTTTTTTTTTTTTTTTTTTTTTTTTTCTCTCCTTTTTTTTTTTTTTTTTTTTTTTTTTTTTTTTTTTCCCTTTTTTTTTCTTCTTTTTTTTGCAAACCGTGACAACACCAAACAACTACGAGCAAAGTACTGAAGTGACATGATAATGAAAGCCCCCCTTCTCGCCCCCAATCACCAATGTCAGCAACGCAGCCCTCCTATGTCGGCGCTCGGCACTCAGACTCCAGACAGACAGCTCCTACGGACCCAGACTGCTGCTGACTACGAGAGATCTGCAATGAGGTCCATCAGCCCGATGACGAATGGAGACTCCGAGTGAATGGCCAGCATCTTCTTCACCAGGTAAGTGCCTTATTGCAATGCTCGGACCCTGTCTTATCCGACCACTGTCCTCATGCCCAAGGACCACCGCTATTCCCCCACTTGGCTTCTGTGCGCGCTGCCTGGCTGTGGCTGCCGCCCAGTCACACGCTGCTCCTCCATCCCCTGGCCAGGCTCTCACGCATGCGCTCCAGCGCCGCTGCCGCAAGTCCACCCAGCCAGAACGTGCTAAGTGAGGCAGCCTCACTTCCTTTTGTGTTGGCTGCAAGGCTCCAGCGCCGCTGCCGCAACACCAAACAACTACGAGCAAAGTACTGAAGTGACATGATAATGAAAGCCCCCCTTCTCGCCTCCAATCACCAATGTCAGCAACGCAGCCCTCCTATGTCGGCGCTCGGCACTCAGACTCCAGACAGACAGCTCCTACGGACCCAGACTGCTGCTGACTACAAGAGATCTGCAATGAGGTCCATCAGCCCGATGACGAATGGAGACTCCGAGCGAATGGCCAGCATCTTCTTCACCAGGTAAGTGCCTTATCGCAACGCTCGGACCCTGTCTTATCCGACCGCTGTCCTCATGCCCAAGGACCACTGCTATTCCCCCACTTGGCTTCTGTGCGCGCTGCCTGGCTATGACTGCCGCCCAGTCACACGCTGCTCCTCCATCCCCTGGCCAGGCTCTCACGCATGCGCTCCAGCACCGCTGCCGCAAGTCCACCCAGCCAGAACGTGCTAAGTGAGGCAGCCTCACTTCCTTTTGTGTTGGCTGCAAGGCTCATGGCCTGGCTGGACCGGCTGCTCCCTGTCTCGGTACCTGCGCCCTGGGCCCCTTCCTGAATCTGCCTGGGGCCTAGGTGCCTGAGCCCTGGGTCCCAGCATCTTCAACCAATGGCAGGTTGAGCTCTACCGGTTGGTTGGAGGTGCTGCGCGCCTCAACCAACCCACGGGCCCCTATGACAGAGTTTCCGCTCGCCATGGCTGGACTGGCTGCACCTTGTCCCAGTACCTGCGCCCTGGGCCCCTTCCTGAATCTGCCCGGGGCGGAGCTGCCTGAGCCCTGGGCGCCAGCATCGTCGACCAGCGGCAGGTTAAGCTCTACCGGTTGGTTGGAGATGCTGCGTGCCTCAACCAACCCACGGGCCCTATAACAGAATTTCCTCTCGCCATGGTCATATAGTCCTATAGATCATGGTGTGCGCCTGAAGTAAGGCCAAGGCCAAAATGTGCAGACCCACCTTCTTTTTTCTTTTTTATTTTTTGTGGGGGGGAAGGGGAAAAATAACAGCTACAAGTTCTCCCTCCTGCCGGTCCCCTCTCTTTGCAGACCAGATACAGCTATCGTTTTTTTCTTTTTTCTTTTTTCCGGGCGACAAATGGTCCAGTCTATTCGTGGTACAGCTCTCATAAGCTAGAATGTAGAATCTGCTCGGGCCAGTGCTCTCTCAGCAACCGAGGCTCTCCTCAGCCCCGGTCAGCCAGAAGATTGAATTACGGTTCAATTGCCTGAGCTGGTGAGTTCGATGATAATGTCTCAAGACTGTCTGTCCTTTTCAGAAATGTTTTGCTATGTGTTTTAAACATGGTTACCAACCGGACGTCCAGATCCCGATCCAGACAATCCGTTGTCCGGTGTCCGGTTCGGAGGGTCCGGTTGGACCACGATTTCGAAAAAATCGATTTTTGGGGGGGGGTTCCCAGGCCATTTACCTGGGCCTGGGGTACCCGGGGAAAAAATGCTGATGTTTTTTGCGAACCGGTACCCCAACCGCGTGTGAAAATTTCTTGCTGCTCGGCCGAAGGCATCAGCATTGGCACCGAAACCGGCCAAACGTAAACCCGGGAGGCCACGGAAGGTTGTGGAGGAGGGGGCTGCAATCGAGGGCAGTGGTGGGGCCAATGAGAATGTTGCGGAGGAGGAATACTGTAACTCCCAAGAGCAGCCCGCTGGTGCCGCACCCAAATCGACGAAACACAAGCCAGGGAGACCACAGAAGGTTGCGGAGGAGGAAACTGCTGCAATGGAGGAGAGCGGTGGGACTGGAGAAAACATTGCGGAGGGCCGGTAGGGGGACGCCTTTGATTCCGAAGAAGAGCTGCTTGAATGCAAGAAATGCAAACAATCCAAGTCAACAGACCGAGGCGGGATACTTGGGGGTTGAAGCGGGTGTGGAACTGACACTGTGTGTGTGTGTGTGTGTGTGTGTGTGTGTGTGTGTGTTTGTGTCATGTGTGCCGGTTTAAGATTCCAAGTTCCGAACTGTGAGGTTCGGAGAACACTTCGGGCGCTAATAAACTTAACATTTCCAATATGCTTAATATTGAATTCATTAGCATGTCCGACCAGTCCCACAAACCTGTGTGTGTCTGTGTCCTGTGTTTTTTTTTTTTTTTTCCCGGACAACCGGACACCGATACACCAAACCGGACTGTCCGGGATCGGATGTCTGGATGTCCCCAAAGAGAACAATTGTGGCCTCCTTTTTGGAAAACCTCTGCCTGACACACACCTGCTGTTTTTTCCTTTCAAAAGGGCGATGGCTTTGAGATACCATCATTAAACTAACCGGCCCCTGATAATTTAGAATTGTTCCATTCTGTTAGTCTGATTGCATCTGGATTCGAACTTGTGTCTGATTCATATTACAACAGCTCATGGGTGTACCAACTGGTTTAGGTGCGTTGGTGCCCTCTGTTCTTCCCTTTTCTCTATCTCTATGCTACTACAGACTAACCCGGTCCTCAGCTGATGCTGCCCGCCAGGCCCAGCAAAAATCGCTGGCATGCGAGGGGTACCGGGGGGTGGTGTCCCACGGGGAACCGCAGGGCAGAATAGTTTTTTATAGGTGCGGGTGCGTCAGGCGCATGTCCAAATACAAGGACAGAGTGATCTTGGTCCCATACTCCCCACGGGCAAAAGCAGCAAAGAATGGCGGTGTATATTCCCATGTTGTAGCTGTAGATTCGTGCTAGCGAGGGTGTGGGCACACAGCTGGCAGACGTGTCGTTTAGTTTTTTTTTCTTTTTTTTTGTGTTTTTGTGGTTTTGCACGCTGTTTGTTTCCCTTTTTGTTGTTATCTGGGGCGCTTCGGAGGAAAGCACGTGTGAGGCCCGTTCATGAGAACGAATCTTCGGGGCTCACCACACAGGCTTTCGAAACGCGCAAAATTGACGCCGTGTCTTCGGCACACAGCCTTTCGAAACAAGTTCTTTCGAAGAAGTTTCCAAAGGTGTCAGATTGGCCGGCGTTGAAAGTCATTTCAAAGAGATGAGATCCTCCCGCCTGTCACGAGCGTTTCCTCGAAAGACCTCGAGTGGTCTTGTGAAAAGGCCCACTCGAAACGGTTGATTGGCGAAAAAAAAAAGGAAAAAAAAAAGGGCGATTACAAGGGCCTGGCCCACTACTCTCGACATGCACAAAAGACAAAAGTTCTGGTGGTGTATCTTTCCATGTTCTAGCCGAAGATTCACACTCTCGTTTTACACCTGTCGAGAGCAGTGGAGCCAGGCCCTAATGTGCATATAGAAAGGCCTCAGTCTTTCGAAAGTCTGTGTGGTGAGGGTGGGGGTTCGTTTCAACGAGAAGCCTTTCGAAAAAAGTCTGACACCTTTCCGAAAAGGCCTTCATTCGAAAGGCTGTGGCGAGCCCCTTCCTGTGGAACAATACGCCGCCGGGTTTTCAGCTCTCTGTTCGTTTTGCTTTCTTCATCGTTATGTGGGGAGCAGTTGTTGCAAAGTAACCACGTGCTGCAAGTCTCTCGCCCAATTTGCAAAGCGGGAACGAATCTTCCTCTGCAATACGGGCAGATTCATCGCATGTCCAAAAATGAGAATGAATCTCCTCGATTTATGCGTGTTCGGCATGTATGGGTATGTTCGCATACAAGTACATAGTATAGCGGGCCGAGTTGGCTGGAAAGACGTACAGAAACGAACCAAATCGTGGCGGTGCACCTTTTCATGTTGTAGTAGAAGATTCAGTCTCATTGTGTAGTTGCATTCACACTTTTCTCTTTTTCTTTATCAAGAGTTGATGGCTGTACTGTAGAGTCACATGTGGCCTTGCTTCGCTACTCTCCAAATGTACAAAATGAGGAACCAAATGTGCAAAATGAGACTGAATCTTCCACTCGAACATGGAAAGATACACCACCATGATTTTTGTCTTTTGTGCATGTCGAGAGTAGTGGAGCGACGCCCATGGGCTTGACTTTTTTTTTTTTTTTTTTTCAGGGGCTGGTGCGAGCCAGCCCACATAACGCCATCCTGTATACATAACATACTATGAACCCCCTCGCGTACCCCCCAACCCACATAGTATCGCGTGCACCAAATAATACTGCCAGCACCCCATCCATTGTATGACCCGACCAGTATTCCGGTGTACCTTTCCGTGCTCTAGCGGAGGATTCATTCTCATTGCAATGTTTTTTTTTTTTTTTTTTTTTCCGTTCTTTTTTTCCCCTGCTCTTGGTCCCCCTGCCGCGTCTGCAGCGGGCATCCACTTGTTTTTTTTTAATAACTAATCTATATTCTTCACTCATATACCTCACTCTACCTTACCTCTTATCTAAGTCCAGTTTTCAAGTATTGATCGTGCGCACAAGCTGGGGCCCCTTAGAGTTATGGGTTGGCAACTTGGCACCGACCTCCACCCGTGTCTGAGCACCGCAGCTTTCTCCTAACTCTGCCGTGGGATGGAAGGCCCGAATACCCTACCACTACCAGCCAGGGGGGCAAGTCATGTATGTCCGCCGGTGAGCCCGAAGTGTGCAGCAGGGGGCCGCGGGGAGTCCAATGGATGCTGTGGGGAATCGAACCCACGACCTCCTGAATGCCACTTGCGTGCTCTACCAACTGAGCTAGGTCTTCCCAGTGCCGTTCCCGATTCAAATTCTCCTTCAACTATTGTTTTTTTTAATCCGTTAAACCACCGCTACCTTTCCCATATGTCAGCCGCAGGCATCTAGTAGCCAAATAGCTGCCACGTCGCCATCGATCTTTTTCATCGACGGTGCGTGGCGGCCGAATTTGAATTTGAGGCCCGCGGCCCCACATATGAGAAAGGTAGTGGTCGTTTAATCAATTAATTCTTTAACTAGGCTACCAGAGTGGCCCAGGGTCACTTGCCCGACTGGGCCAAAAAAAAAAGAACAAGAAGGTGTGTCGATGTGACCGTGACGCAGAAATTGACATGGGGGGTTTAAGTCAACCTCGTCCGCTTAGTTGAGTCCAGTCAGGGGCATAAGCGGACCGAGTGGATCGATTTCAGGTGATGATGGGTGGAAGATGTGCCCTCTTGGGTTGGACCCTCCAAATTTTCTCTGTTTCGCATTTCATAATTTTCATTGTGGGGTTTGTTCAATCCTATCATGTCGGAGCTTTGTTTTGAGCTTTGCTTGTCTGTGTTATGGAGTGATCCTACACATTTTGCAGTGTGATAATGAATGTCAGTCTCTAAAGCCCAAACCTTAGGCAGAAGTTGTTCAGTTAAAAAAAGAAAAAAAGTGTTGTTCAAAACAGACAAAAATGGACCTGTGAATTTCCCAAAAAAAAAAAAAAAAAAAAAAAAAAGAGGGGGCGACAGCATTGGGATATCATCGTTGAACTCACTGGCCCCAGGTAATTCAGAATTGTTAAAAAAAAACAAAAGCAGAAAGGGGACGGACTGTACTACCTGCAACGGAGAGCCCAAGCTGGCCCCCAAATAAATATGGAAGAAAATTGCCAAACTTAAATAAACGGGGCAAGCTGTTCCGCTGTCTGCCACATTCTTCGCTAAAATCCTTAAACCCTGTTAAACCAGTGAGAGAACCCATACATCCTTAAAGTCGTGCCCGAACCTCTAGACCCTAAACCCTACCGTCTTCACCCGAATAGAACGCCCGGTAATTATCACTGTATCTGGACTGGAAGTTGCCCCAAAGACAGCTATAATGACTGTGTGTTCTATTCGGGTGAAGACGGTAGCTTATCCCTCGTCTGTTCCCTGACTGGTGTTTCAGCTCGATGTCCTCCCGTCGTGTTCTCAGTTTGCGGTTTTTGGTTGCAGTCAATGGGACGTCGGGCCCGGTTTCCAGCACAAGCCTACCTGGGTAATGGCCCCAGAACACTCCGGGTTGAGATGTTGAGGAAGTCCCAGCCTCATTCTTTGGACATATAATTTTTTTTTAATCAGAACCTTAAGGCTCTGGCTCCTTTTCCATTCTGGGGAGCATCAGTCGGATTCCTATTCCACCGGCAAGTCAAAAGGAAGTACATGAAAGACTCACACACGCTCTTTCCCTTTACGGTAGGGAAGTCCGAGGGACGGCATTGATTACTTCTCGCCGGAAGGATGTACTACCCCTCACCTCTGCCAAAGTTAGCCTGGTTTCTTACGTTTGGAACTTTGGATGCTAAAAACCATACTTGCGGCGCACTTAACCGGTGCGCCGCGCGCTGCGCTGCTCCGTGCGCCATGCGCTCACGGGTGATGTGTGCGCATGTGCACACCGCGCGCACTGAGCGCGCACTGGCAGTGCGCTGTAGTGCGGCCGAGTGATCCCCATGCCCACGCACCTGCGGATGTGCCTTACTTTCTTTTTTTTTTTTTTTGTGTGTGTGTGTGTTTGTGTGTGCGTGTGTGTGTGTGTGTGTGTGTGTGTGTGCCCTTGATACAGGCGTGTTTGTCTGCTGTGCCACGACATCATTCCCCTGACACTATCGGGCCGAACAAAACGCCTGTATCAACGGCCACTATTGATTCTCGACAGAGGCCGTTTTGTTCAGCCCTATAGGCCGTTGCTTTTCCTTTTTTTCTTCTTATTTTATTTTTGAAACGGTTACAGCCTCACTCCACTGCTCTACACATGCACAAAAGACTAAAATATGGCGGTGTATCTTTCCATCTTGTAGCGGAAGATTCACTCTCAGTTTGCACATTTGGAAAGTGGTGGAGCGAGGGCCATACAAGGGTAGCCTGGGGCCTCGCTCCGCCACTCTCCAAATGTGCAAAATGAGAGTGAATCTTCCGCTAGAACATGGAAAGATACACCGCCATATTTTTTGTCTTTTGTGCATGAGTAGTGGAGCGACGCCCTTACATCGCACCCGACTACAGCTGGACATGCAGCCCTCATGTGACAGAGGGCCTCACTGCACTACTCTCCAAATGTGCAAAACGAGAGCGAATCTTCCGCTACAATATGGAAAGATACACCGCCGTGATTTTTGTCTGTTGTGCATCTCGAGAGTAGTGCAGCGAGGCCCAGAGGCCCAACGGATTCTGGTGGCAGGTTCGACTACTCTCCAATTTGTGCAAAATTAGA